TCCATCCGCCTCAGCATTCCGAGTAGCCGAAATTACAGGCATGTGCTACCACACCCGGCTGATTTTTTGACTTATTGTAGAGATGAGGTCTCGCAGCCCAGGCAGGTCTCGAACCCGCGGGCTCAGGCAATCCACTCACCTCAGCCTCCCAAAGGCGCAGGATTACAGGCTGAGCCACCGAGCCCGGCTATTTATTTATTTATTTATTTATTTCATTTTATTTTTTGATTTTTTTTTCATTAATCAGTATTTTTTATTATGGTTTTGTGGGGTACAGTTTTTTTTTTTTTTTGAGTTGTAGTCTCACTCTGTCGCCCAGGCTAGAGTGTAGTGGCAAGATCACAGTTCATTGTAGCCTCAACCTCCTGGGTTCAGGTGATTTGTCTACCTCAGCCGCCTGAGTAGCTGGGAATACAGGGGCATGCTATTATGCCTGGCTCATGTTTTGATTCTTTGTAGAGATGCTGTCTAGCTATGTTGCCTAGGCTGGTCTCGAACTTCCGGCCTCAACCTCCCCAAGTGCCGAGATTATAGGCATGAGCCACTGTGACTGGCCTTATTTTTATTTTTTGTTTTATTTTTTTACTTTTAACATAGATGAAACTACTGAATATACTTTGCAACTTGCTTTTTTAATGCTTTAGAATATGTTTTATATATATTTTTGTGAACCTAGGCTGCCTCATTTTATTTTTAACTGCTAAAAAGGAGGAATTGACTGGAAAGGATAAAACAGTTTATTTTGCCACCCGTACTGGTAGGCAAGGAGGTTGGTTCCAGTGGTCCTGGTTATATTACAGCCATCCATGTTGTAGAAAGCTTCCTCGTAACTGTAAATGCCTCTCTGATATGTGTGCCAGGGTTTCTCCCAGGTGGATTCTGAGCTCCTTTTTTCTTTCCTAATCAAAACCAACACACACACACACACACATATCGCAACTGATTTTTCCCCTTCTTATCCCTTGTATAAATCTGCTAAGCTGGTGGCAACACACTCCATAGTTTTCTTTGCCAAATGATAAATGATTTTTTCCTAAGTCATTTGAGTCCAAAGGGTCTATGCTAAAAAAGAAAAGTTCTAGTGGCTCTTTTTGTGAGCCAGAATGGAAGTGGTTGGCAGGTGGTATGGTTGATTGCAGTCCGCTAGAACTATTGCTCCGTGTGAGCTGAAGACAGGCACTCTGGAGAGTGCAGGTCATAGGGACAGAGAGACGTGAGTTAGAATCTTAACTCTGCTGCCCGCTTCTTGTGTGACCTTATGCAGGTGTCTTAGCCTCTTTGAGGCTCAGTTTCCCACTTTGTAAATGAAGATAAGTTTCCTAGAGCATCTGATACTTTGATGAGTGCCCCGTTCGTGGTAGCCATGATTGGGTAAGCGGCAGATATCACTCCAGTAGGTGAGTCCCAGAAGGAAGTGAATACAAGCCACTTCTGTAGGTGACCAGCTTGAGATGACACACACAGAGGAGACAGAGGAACCTAGAGCTTGCATCTGTGGTCTGCAGAATCAGACACACAGGATGAATTCCACCTTTGCCATTTCAAAGTTTTGTAAGTAGGGACAAGTTACTTTGTAGATTTACGTTCATGGTGGACTTATCTCGTAGGCTTGGTATAAAGATATCAACAATCACACACATCTTGTGTTGGCTCAGGGCCGACTCAGTAAGTAATAACTGTTTTATTCTGAAAGACCCATATCGTAGTCTTCAGCATGACCTGTTGAACCTCGCAGCTTCTGTAGGTCAACATAAGCCTTTGTAAGTCCAGTGCCCAGTGCCTGGACCTTTAGAAAGAAAAACTCCCTACCAAGAAACAATGGGGGAAACACAGTTTGACTGTTTGACATTTACCAATCTTGCATTTTGAAGGAGGGAAGAGCTGTCATTGTTTAAATATGGGACTGAGAGCTGAACTGGATGAGGCCTGACTTCCAGACTTACCTGAAGTCTATCCAAACTCCTTGAATCTTGAAGGCCTGAACAATATCACCCAACAGGCCCTGGCCCGACTCCCAGCACGTCCGCTGCCGGATGGACTGGAGACCAGATGCCTGCAAATATGTCTGCCTCTTTAGGCATGAGCATAAGGTTAAGAGTGTCCTATGGGACACACATCCCTGCGTGAAGGTTCTGTTTTATATTATGCTTAAGGGTGCCCTTCCTAGGTCCCAGACCAAGTCTTTTCAATAACATGATTCAGTAGGTGCTGTTATTAACTGACTTTGCCAATGGGGAAACTGAGACTCAGAAAGGTTAAAAGAATATGCCAGTGGTGTTCTTGAAGGTAGAATCTAAACCTAAGCCTGATCTGCAAACTCTATAGCTGTGTCCTTAACCATCACTCTGTACTGTCTCTGTTTCCTTTCCTTATCAGCTATAATCTTAAAATTTCATCTTCCACTAGAGATCTGATTTTGAGACTGAGTCAAATACGCTGATTAAGAGCTCACCAGGTTTGAATTAGAGAGCTCTGTCGATTAAATTAATGCCAGACCAAAAGAAGGGCAGGAAGAAGTTAAAAAGAATCAAGGTACCTTTTAGGTTCAATATTTACAGCAGCATCCTTATACATGCATTCCTGGAGGAGGTAGCAGAAAGACTTTGAATGCGAGGTTCACAGACCCCTTAGGTGATGTGAGCGGTTGGCTTTCATGGGGGTGTTTATGGGATCCTCCATGAACCTAAGACCTACTTGGGGTGGCCACTAGGGGAGATGGAGCTGGGAGCTGACCCATTGCAGAAATTATCACAGTAGCTGACACTTTGCAGCTCTGTGATCACAAGCAAGTTTTTTCCCCTTTCTGGGCCTCAACTACCTTTTGTGCTATATGGGGGTAACAACAGTGCCTGCCCAGTAGGGTTGTGATGAGACGAACTCATTTGCAGAAAGCACCTAGAACAGTTCCTGGCACCCATGTGTGCTCAGTGGACGTCTGGTAGCCACTGCCCTGTTCTTATGAAGCTCACACTGTCACAAGTGGGTCAAACATTACACAAGACATTATGTAATTGTTTAATTAAAACTGTAATGCTATGAAGGTGTGCAATGTGCTAGTGAATATCAAACTGTAGTCTCAGTTAAGGTGGGAAAGCAGGTAGGTTTTGAAGCTGAGATCCGAGGAGAGAGAGAGAGAAGGAGAGAGACAGGGACTTGCATGATGCCAGCCTCATAAGCTGTTTTAATAAAGGACTCTGGATTTTATCCTAACACCAATGGATGGCTGCCATTGAAGGGATTCAAACCCCTGGGTGACATGACTGAGTGTTGTTTTGTTTTGAAGCAGTCACTGTGCTGTGATAGGAAGAGACTATAATTGACACCAGAGACTTGTTGAGACGCTTTTGTAGGGTCTGAGGCATGAGATGGTGACTTAGACCAGGGTGTGGGTAGACACTGGAGATGTAGGTGAAATCGGGACTTAATGACTGGTTGGAGATAAGGAGGTGAAGAATTGCCCCCTTTTCACAGGGATTCAGAAACTGAGGCTTGGAGAGATTGAGGAACTTGCTCAAAGTCACCCAGCCCATGAGTGGCCTGGCCCGAGATGCACACTGAGGCTTGTGGACTTGGGGTGTATGTGGTGTGCACCATGGAGAAGCCTTCTCACCTTTCTAGAAACCTCTGCCCTTCTCACCTCCCTCCATTCCCAAAAGGGAGCCCCCAGTAACAGGGAGCATTCCAGCCAAGCTCTGCCTGTCCTGTCCGGGAGACAACAAATAGCAATTCATCATCAGCCTTCACACTGTAGAGTGATAAGGAATCAGCCGAGGTTTCCTTCCAGTTGGGATTCCCGTTAAGTGATAACTCCATGGGTGGTTCCCCCCGCACCCCTGGCCCCTGCCTGCCCCACTATCTGACTTCCCCTTATTGTCTGTCTCCTTTCCAATGAGCCCAGGAGTCAAGGGGCCAGGCAGGCCAGAGGGCTCCTTGTGTTTGGAACCAGCTGTCTCCAAACTATCTCTCCCAATGGATTGAGCCAAAAAAGCTGGGAAGGTTCTTTTATCAATGCCACTCAATCAAGTCCAGGGCCCCAGGGCCTGGGACAGCACTTGTCTGTCTCTCCCCCTCCTAACCTGACTCTCACCCCTTCTCCCACTGGAAACCAAAAGTAACCCAAATAAAAACTTTGGCAAAGTCATTTACTGAATTGGCTATTCAAAAGAAAGTCAGGGATCGAGAGGGAAAGAGGAATTGGATATGGAAAGGGGCCTTGTGGGGGACATTTTCTCAGCGCAGTATGTTTTCGAAAGCAATTTCACATCTTTTTTTCCCCATCCCCATTTTACAGGGGGCAAATGGAGGACCAAGAGAGTGGGTTAGATTCTTTGTGGCTGATGAGTGGCAGATCTAGGATGGATTCGTCAGACACATAATTATTTATTGAGCATTTAATGTGTACTGGGCACTGTGCATGGTGCTTGGGATAAGAAGAGGACAAGATGGAAAAGGGCTCTGCTCCCATGAAACCTGTGTTCTCACTAGGGTAGACAGATAATAGACCAGGAAGTAAATTTAATGATTTCAGATTGTAGATATTTGATTTCTAGTTGAGAATCTTTCCACAATGCCATGATAGCCCTTTTTATTTTATCC